TGGGAGTTGAAGTCCACTCATCTTAAAGTGGCCAAGTTTGGACAACACTGATGTATAGGAAGAATATTTCCTATTTAGTTTTACTATGTGCAGGGAGGAGAATACTGTTGTCGGAGCATCATCTTGGGATGAGGCTGTATTGATTTACCTCATTTTGTTTTCCTGACATTGTTTGCCAATTTCATCAGTGTTTCTTCTCTTGCCACAGAAGAATTTCTTGGGGCCTCCTCCTCGCAAGCTCTCAACCACGCACAGTCTTCCCAACCCACAAAGCCCACTTCCCCCATCTCTGCAGAAGAAGCTATTCCAACGCTGGAGGCCTCTGTGGAAAGCTGGGCCCTGCTTAGCCCCACCCCAGCAGAGGCGACCCCATCAGAGAGCAGCGAGAGCATCTCCTTGGTGACTCAGATTGCAAACCTCACTGCTGTGCCTGCCTCCCCCTCACAAACTGGAGCCCAGCTTGCTGGAGCTGGGGACCTTTCTCAGAAGCTGCAGGAAGCCACCAGAGACGAGCAGGTCTCTTTGCCTAAACCAGGGAAGCCTGCACAGCCTTCTCCAGCTCCTCAGGAGGCAAAGCCCTCTTCAGAGCAGCCCAAGGAGCGTGTGGAGAGCAAGGCAGCGAGCAGGATAGAGACTCTGCGAGAGGATGTGCCCATGGACTTACGACTTTTTGAGCTCAATTCGGACAGCGGGAAGTCCACGCCATCCAACAATGGGAAGAAAGGTGAGTAGCTGGGAACCTTCAGTCCAGCTTTTTCTAAGGATGTGTTTGTTTACAAGGAATGATAGTTGGGGTTGTTTCAGGGCAAAATCCTTTTAGATCTTTGACAGTTCTGGAAAAATACCCAGGCTGCATTTAAGAAGACTGCTTGCCAATTGGTGGCTTTCATGAAGCTGGCATCTACTAACTGTTGGTGTGTTACCACAAAGCTTCAGCAGCTTCATACTAAATGTTCATTGTTAGGTTCCAAAAGCCTGCTGAAGCAGACCATGCATGGTGTTTTTCTTATTGTTTCAGGCTCGAGCACAGATATTAGTGAGGACTGGGAAAAGGACTTTGACCTGGACATGACAGAAGAAGAAGTTCAGTTGGCACTTGCCAAAGTAGACATCTCTGCAGAGGTAAGCTCTAGTAGCCAGTGGATGGTCAGACGCAGCTGAGGAAGTATCAGAGAGAGGTGTAAGTTGATATTAAACCTTCTGTTTATTGAACCTTAGTTTCGTGGATATCAGATGCAGTGAACAAAATCCGTTTGGCATTTTACACGTGCATTGTGTCATTTACACCTGCCTCCACCATTTAATGGACTTTTGGCTAGAACAGGCAACTCTTCCCTACTTTAGCCTGTTAATTTGAGGGTTTAGTTATATGTGGGAATTCCAAATAACAGCATTTGGTCAGGGTTACCATTTTACTGATAAGGAACTGAAACTGGGAGTGTGCTAGATTACTGTCCTCTCAGAAACACAAAAAGAAATGTTGACAGTACAGACTGTCCCTACTTCCTCTGGAATCAGTCCATTGACTAGCTAACCTGTCCTTTATAGAGAAGCTGTGTGTTGGATTGCGGCCTTAAGAGCATTTTCAGAAGAAATTTTCTGGGGGTTCCCACGTGTTTCTGTTAACAGGGTACTGCAACGTTATGTTATGTTGGATGTGTCATTCTGGTAAATCAGTGTTTCTCAAACTTGGCAACTTTAAGATGTGTGGACTTCACCTCCCAGAATTCCCCAGACACTCTGGCTGGGGAATT